ATCGTGTTTAACTACGAATTTGAATTAATTGATAAAATCGATTTATCGCCCAGCCCTATTTCAATGTGGTATAAATATGGGCACATGAACATTCTTTTAATAGACTTGGAATATTGAACCTATATTTTAAGCTTAAATGCCCTGAATCTGCTAAATACTATCAAATGAAACAGAACTTATTTATTATGAAACAACTTTGTAATACTGTATATTTGGAGAAAATATCATTATAGAAAATGTAAATTGTATTGATATCATCCAGTATGACCACAGTATTGATGCAGCATACAGTAATCCATTCACATTCTAAATACACCTCATAAACATGTATTTTCACTTTCATATTGTTAAATAAACCACTGTGACAAAATGCTCTCACAGTTTTAGATGGCTACCATGTGCATTACACTGAAAACCTGCAGCCTCCAGTTGGTCTGATGGCCAGGAGTCCTTCTCAGTCTAAGCTTACGTTTTGGCTGATGCTTCACCTGAGACAGACACAGCACTTGAGACAACAGCAGTGGATAATAAGGGAGAGAAGGTAGGGATGGCAGTCCCTTCTCCACAAGCCCTTCCACTACTGAGTGCCACTCTGCATGAAGTCTCAATAACAGTGGAGGACACTCTGTTGTAAGGGGGAAGTCATTTATAAGTAGTTAAATTTAGGACTGACGCATACCACTATCCCTCTCACCATGGATACTGATGGATGCTTTACTCCCTCAGCTGTTGTTTTGTGTTGTTCTGGTGCTGCCCCCAAAAAGTAGATAATTCAAGTCATCAGTAGAAAAGAGACCTCGACTTGCATGTTAGTTGAATCACTGCACTTTGATTTATTTTTTTCTTTTATTGCCTTTATTTGATAGTGACAGGTGAAGACAGACAGGAAAGGGGGGCAGAGAGAGGGGATGACAAGAAGCAAAGGTCCCCAGGTGGGATTCGAACCCTGGGCCGCTGCAGCAGGGACTCAGCCTCAGTACATGGGTTGCCAGCTCTACCCACTGAGCTAACCGGGCGCACTGCACTTATTTATTTATTTTTTTTGTCAGTGTACACAGGACACATACTTTTATAGTGACATGAAACAAACATAGGCTGATATAAGAGCTGAATATGGGACTGTTGCTCTGCAGAATTGCTGAATGGACACTAACCTGGCAGGGGGAGTGAATAATATATTTCTCATATTTATTGGTAAGGTGTATAGACAAAACATCAGTTATAATGTTGAAATTGAATCTACAGATAAGAAAAAGCATGAACCAATAAACCATAAGCACATGACAAATTTGTCGCAGACAGTAAGTTTAGAGTGCAGAACTAGCTAGTAGCATCTGGTAATCTGGTCAGAACCTTAGATTATAATTCCCAATTGTCACTGCTCAAAACCCCTCTTTTTTGAACAATATTGTAGATTCTGATTTGTGATATGTGATTTGGTAAGCCTCTAGGCTGTTCGGCTCTGCCTGCACATCTTTTGCGAATGCATGAATAATTACTTGTTACTTGTTTTGCCCATTAAAAATGTTCTATCTGACTTTTAATATTTTATCTACTATTTTATCTTTTGCAAACAAACAATGAAGTATTGGATAGTTACACAGGAAGAAACCATTGATTATAAGGAAAGACAGCTCACATTGTTACTGTTTCTTTCTGGCATGATCAGTTTGTCTTGCATTTAGAGTTTCAGAGTGTGATCTGGTGACAGACTGATCACAATCTAAAATGCTTTAGAGAAAAACAATAATATAATTATTTATATTATTATATATTTATATTTAATTAATATGTTGAAGCTTCCACACAAACAATGGAGTGGAAAAGGTGGGAATGTACAGTATTGGTCAGAATGAAGCTGAGCCATAGAGGTGTGTCCTTGGATTTGAATTTAGTGCCTCGGGTCAGCCCATGATTGAGCAGCACCACTAGCAAAGTGGAGGGGGGTCTGTGCATCAATGGGGCCACAGTTTTGACACCTAAATATTGTGGATATCCAGACGGAGATATGAATGGATGAGGTGCAGATGGATGCAGACAGAGGTGTATTTACCCAATAAAGAATGATCCTTGTTGGCCGACTCTCCATCTCCAGTAGGAAGGTCTGGTCTGGTGTAATCTCGACTCTTATCGTTGTTGTATTTGACGTTGAGGTTAACCAGTTTACTGAAGTCTATCCGCAGAGTGCAGCATGAATTATAGATGTTCTGTCCATCCAAAGACTGGAGTAGAAGTAGTGAAAGAGGGGAAAAAAGAAAGATTGTTATAACAGCGTTCTACATAGCGCTTGTTTAGTGCCAAGTATAGCCGGACTGATAATGGATTTTTTTAGGCTAATGCTGACATTTGAAAGGTCCAGTGTGTAACATTTAGGAGAATCTGTTGTCAGAAATGGCATATAATATTTATATTTATAACTACCTGAATATAGGAATTCTTGTGTTTTCGTTAACTTAGAACGAACCGTTTTTATCTACAGAAGCCGCCAGGTCACACGCAAATACAGACGTCAGCAGTGTTCAGTTAGTTGTAGTTTGAAACTTCACTGCTCGATAGTACTTAATCCTACCCACTGGTCCTTTAAAATTTTATAGTTATGAATCGGCGGATATATGGGTCTAGCTCTAATACCAAACATTTTAAAGGGCTGAAAGGTGAGATGTTAACTGCTTAATTTGAATGTAGGCAGAATGAGGTAATTAATTCAGAGACTGAACCCAAAATGTAAATGATTTTCTTATTAATTAAGATCATTTTTAGCTTTAACTTTTCATATAAAAAAGGCAATATTTTGGGCTGTGTCAAACATCTTTTACCAAGAAAAAGTACAGTAAATGCTATGGTTACAATACAGTTCTGTGCTGGTGGAGATATACCTGAATTTCTCCTAAGGGGAATAAATAAAGGAATATCTTATCTTATCTTATCTTATATCCCTCAGTCTGAGCCAATGGCATGCTGTCAAAGCCTCGTGGAAGCTGTAATTGTTGAATGCTGACAACATGTCCACCTCTTTTCTGTCTGTGTGTGATCCTACCAGTTTAGCTTGCTGTGCATTGACGGGGTCGCTGAACTGCAGAAGAGCCTGAAACTGGTTGTTCTTGGTGAAGGTTATAATCTTCATTACGGTCCCGAACTTACTGAAGATCTGGAGGAATCACAGAATTCATTCATTTTAAACACACTCATACTTAATTTTCTTCACAATTTGAGGTCAAGCATTATGGACTTTTGAAAGGTTTTGAAATCGATGTAATGCTGATTTATCATCTCTTTTCCTCTCCAGAGAGACTCCTTTTCGCTTTACAGATACTGTTTTTATACAAAAAAGGTTGAAACATCTGTAAATATGTGACCATGTGTTCAGGATTTACCTGTTGGAGAACATCCAGGGTCACAGGATAAAACATGTTGTCAATGATAATTCGCAGGACAGGGCTGGGGGGTGGAGCTAGGTCCAACACTCCAGGGTCAGAGGACGGTGAGCTTCCATCCTGAACTGCTGACACTGCCTGCAACACTGCCTGGGCCCTCTGGGTGGAAAGAAAAAAGGATGCATACGTCACGGGAGAAAGGTTTGGATGAAGGATAGCGTTTGGTGTATAAATATATACATGCATATACCTGGTTCAGAGCTGAGTCTGTTTTCAGTTCCTTATGGTTGGAGTATTGGATGAAGACAGGAGTGTTTCTGACCTGAATAAGATGAATATAACACACAATTCAGTTAGTAGCCCTTACAACAACCACAGAAATGATTCATAATATGTAACGTGAATGGACACTGATGCATTTCAGACCTGTGGTGTGACAGCTGTGTAGTAGTTCACCATAGTAATGGCTGCTTCCTCTGTACCCAACTCTAGAAACGCCTGAAAGCACACAGTAATATAGAGCGTCAGCAGAATAACATTACTGTCCAGGACAATGTGTCACTGTCCCTTTTCAAACTAAATGTCATTACAAGACGGTTGTTTCATTGCCATCCCAAAGTATTGGCTGATGGTATAGAGTTCGGTTTATTTTACCTGATTTTTCCCTTTCAGCATCAGTATATTGGTGACCTTCCCAAAGGGCAGCCCCAGAGCAATGACTTCAGTCTCTGACACTTCATTGGGAAGTTTCCTGATGTGGAGAACTCTGGAGGGAGGGGATTCATCCAGACGCTGTTTCTTACTGTCACTGCCGTTTGCTTAACATGGACAAACACACACACACAGACAGACAGACAGACAAATACCAATAAATAACACACCACAACAAGTCAGATAGAGCACAAAAAGGTGGTGACTATGCTCCATTAAGCTGCTTCTGTTACAGGGTCCCACTGTCATGACTTATTGGGACATCTGAATAGAACAGAGTCATCATTAATGTTATTAGTAACACCTATGCTTTTCTTTCTCTGACCAGTCAAAATAACTGCTGTGAAGAAGACCTTTGGTGGACTTTATATATTACTGGGTTGACAAAAAAATAGCCTGAAACTATTTTAATACTCAATTACTCTCTGACAACCTCTGTCAGTTCCGGACCCAAGAAGATTCCCAATGCACTGAAAACAACACAGATTCCAGCTTTAAACGATGGTGGATTGCGTTTGTCGATCCAGTCCTAGTTAAGACTGAACGTACCAGTCATAGAGTTGGGGCTGCTACCGTACATGTTGAGCTCATCTGAGCCTCTCTGAAAACACAAGAGAAAATAAATTAAACTGTTATCTTAACGAAATGTCTGTCATTTATTAAAATCATACAAAGTTTAACACAAATCTATATAACTAACACAAATCAGGCATTAAACCTATTCACCCATCCTATCCTAACATCCAGTCCATTTTCAATTTCACAATATCACAAACATAGTAAATGCAAGTGTGTTTAGGTAAACATAGTGAAAAAGTAAGACTGCTTGCCTTCACACCAACTGCAACATCACTGCCAATGGAGAGAATGCAGGGAGATGAAAAAAAAGATAAAATATTATTTAAATGTCCTTAAGGATATTCAAGAGAGACTGGTGCTGTTGAGAGTTTAATCTAGATGGAAATGCTGTGGTATATTACTTCAACTGTGCAACAGTTTAACAACTCAGTGAAAATGTGAAGAAAAATCATACAAAAAAGATGTTAAAGTGTTAAAATGTTTTACATTCCTGGTTGGAACCAGCTATACCAAAAAAAATGCAAACAAATTAAAGGTAGGCTACATAAAGTCAATCAACATTACATTAAGAATCAATAAACTAGTTTGAAAAAATTTATAGGATTTTGAATAAGAAAAACAAACCTATAATACTGTAGAATAATTTGATTATAACAATCTGTCAATGGGTCCTTTTGGACTTTTATAGAACTTAATCCAATAGGACAACCTTATGGGATGTTTGTAGCAGTAGTCATATAATCTTACAGGACTTTAACCTATAGGATAACGTATAGAGAAGCACATGCATAGGGTTCATATTTCAGCAATTCTTAGTCCAAATTACTTCAACACACTGATACTGGTTGACACTGCTTTAAACATACAAGAATCAAACTGGAGAACTGAATACAGCACAATTTACTTAAAACGTTGCCACGCAAACGCAAGAATTACGCTGTTCAATTCCTATTCAAATTTTCTGATGAATACGTCTTTTGCCATTTTATATATTTTTTATTGTGTATTTTGTTCTTCCCTTATTTATAAATAATAAGGTAAAGTGACAAGCTTGCTCTGTACAAACCAAAACCATATGTATTATTTCCGTTCATACTTCCTACTGCTTAGTTACACTTATCAACACAATAACATAAAATAAACTTAATGAACTGAACAGGGGGCTGGATTAAATCATATTTAGACAAGCGCACAGTTTTCTGGCAGGGGAAGAAGAAGGGAGAAGGAAAGAAGCCACATACACACATACATACACACATACATACATACATACATACATACATACAAGTATTTGAATTGCATAGGTGACAGCTCTACATCAAATTAAAATCTAGTTCATATGAATTAATTTGAAGGAATCCCTTTCATTTACAGCTTTAAAATTAATTTCTTCACATTTGGGAGGAAATTTAAATTTTGTTCTTATAGCCAATATTTTAGTTATTGCATAGTTTCTGAGATTAAGATGTCCTACTTGTTAAACCAGGGAATATAGTATTTATTAAATATTACCAAATATTATGATATAATATTTATATATATTTAGGTACTGGCGTGTTATCTAGAATACATAAATGCTGTTGGATTTTTTTTGTGTCACTTTCATGGAACATGTTATATATTAATTGTTAAGCTCCTTCAATGTATTTAAGTACATTAGAATTTTCATCCAACTAATGCACAATTGACCATATTTGTTTTTTCAACCAGTCTTCCATTAATATAGATTTTATTTTAGTTAATATGACTCTGTTATTCCATAGTGAGGGCAATTCATAAATCATTTCCCAGTGTGACAGCACTAGTTGGTGAAGCGTTTAAACGACAGATATTTTCAAAGTCACATTTTAATAAAAAACTGAAAGCCTCCCAATGCTTTCAGTTCAACAGTTAGCGGACTGTTGTGTACAATAAGCCGGCAGAGGTCGCGTGTAGCAAACACGAGCTTCAAACAAAGGACCCTTAGAAACGACAGGTGCGCGTGCCATGTCGGCTATGTCGGGGTTCACTAATAACACAGGGCGAACAGCTTGTTACACTAATGATAACCGACGGTAACTGGCGCCATTTATCTCACATTTCTCTCTTCCCGGTAGCTACATTAATCTAGCTAACATTAATTTTACGCACGAGAGAAGATGTTAACTGTTATATGCTGAATTATAACCTATTGCAACTACAACATTACAAAATAAATAATTAAAAGATGCTCTTGAGTCATGTTCTATCATAAATGTACGTTTCCCTACAAGCAAGACAACATTAAACAATCACATTCGTGACTTTGGGTGTTGTTAGCTAGATAACGTCATGTTGTTCGCGATATTCAGTATGAAGCTTCGCGGCAGAGCTAACAGTCAGTATGTCCAATGAGCACGGCTCGTCTGTCTATGCCACATGCACAGCTGTGGAAAGTGCACCCTGAAGCAAAAGCTATGTTAAACTCATTTACCCGTCCATTGCAGCTCTTTGTCCTCTTCTGTCTGTTAATATTTCAGCACACTTCGATGCCTAGACGGTGTGAGCAAAATGGGCGTTCTTCTTCTTCTTGTCTTTTAATGGTAATTAGCGACCAACAATAACATCAGGTGCATCACCGCCACCTACTGTCGAGGAGGGTATCTCTTTTCTTCTTCTCTGATTCTATCCGCAAACCAACATGTAAAGGCGCCGTACCGCCACCCACTATAGCGGAGTGATCTCAGCGAGGGACTGACTTATTTATTATCCAATAAAATACTGCAATGATGCTATTTGGTCAATTGAAAATGAAATTGAAATCTTTGCACAATGTTAGCATATTCATAGATTTTTTAAATTTTTACTGCGATAGAAGGAGTCTATTCTTTAAGGATTTCAATGTGGAAATTATACTTTTTTGGTGGAAAAACATTATTGTTCCAAGCAGACTATTTGTATATAATAAAATAGTGTCAAATGGAAATACTCAAGTAAGGACAAGTACCTCAGAACTGTACATAGTCAAGTACTTGAGTCACTGTACTGACTTACATTTTGGTGTGCATCTGTGTTTATGTCTACAAGCAGGCCACTGCAGCCGCATGCTCCC